GAAATGTTACATTCAATGAAAGGATAAGAAAATATTATCAACAGTTTTGCATCAACACATTTGATAAGTTCAGTGAAATGGACAATTTCCTTAAGACACAAACTACCAAAGACCACTCAAGAAGAAAAAGATAACATGAATAAGCCTCTATCTATTAAAGAAACTGAATTAATCATTTAAAAACTTCTCTCAGAGAAAACCCTAGGCCCAAATAGTTTCACTGGTAAATTCTACTAAACACATAAGGCAAAAATAATACCAACGGTACACAAACTCTTCCAAAATAGAGAGGAAGAGTGAACACTTCCAAACTCATTTCATTAGGTTAATACAAAAATCAGACAAAGATTTTAGAAGAAAACTACATATCAATATCCCTCATGAACAAGAATGAAAAAGTCCTTAACAGAATATTAACAGATTGAATTTAGCAGTATCTAAATAGAAGAATACATGATCACCAAGAGTAGATCATCCCGAGAAGATAAAGGCTTAACAATGGAAAATAATTCAATGTTTTTCATTATATCAACAAACTGAAAAAAGAAATTATATTCTATTATTATTATTATATTCTATGTGAATAGATTTAGAAGAAGTATTTTTTTTTAATTTATTTTTTTACCCAGCATGGAGCCCAACCTGGGGCTTGAACTCACGAACCTGAGACTAAGACCCAAGCTGAGATCAACAGTTGGAAACTAACCAAAGGAGCCACCCAGGTGCCCCTAGAAAAAGTATTTTAAAATAGTAAACCTCCATTATTAGAAAAATTCTCTGTAAAATAGGAATAAAAGAAAACTTCCTCAATCTGATAAATAGCATCTATTAAATACTTACAGATAACATCACAATGATGGTGCAAGACTAATTCCCCCTCAAGATCAGGAACAAGGAAAGAATGTCCTCTTTCATCACATCTGTTCACTGATTTGGGGTGGTGGGACAAGAGGGGGAGGGGACCCTAGCCAGTGCAATAAGACAAGAAAAAGAATAAAAATAATTCAGACTGGAAAGGGAAAAGTAAAACTGCCTTTATTCACAGACAAAATGATCTAGAAAATCCCAAGGATTCTACAACAAAGCCACTAGAAGTACTAAGTGAGTTTACCTACAATGCTGGATATAGGGCACTATGTTACAATCAACTATAATTCTAGGTACAAGTGTGCGTACACACACACACACACACACACAACTTAAAAAACATTTCAATAGCACCAAAAATATGAAATAGGGATTTTTAACAAAACATATGTAAGACTCATATATTAAAAGCTACAAAATGTTGTTAGTAGAAATTTTAAAAGTTCCAAATAAATGAAGATATATATCACATCCATGGGTCAGAAGACTCACATTGTTAGGATGCCAATTCTCCCAAATTTGATTTATTAATTTAATACAATTCCCTATCAAAAGCCCAGGAATTTTTCTATAGAATTGGTAAGCTAACTTAAAAATGTATTTATGCACGATTTTTGACAAAGATTCAAAGGTAATTCAGTAGAGAAAGACAGTCATTTCAACAAATTGTGCTAGAACAATTAGATATACATAAGCAAACCAATTAACCTCAAGCTTGCTGTATACAAAAAATAACTTGTAATAGAACACAAACCTATATATTCCATTTCTGCTTCCCATTTCCTTTGATACATCTTAACTCTTCATACACAGAGCTTTCTCTAAGTGGATTAGTTCAATAGATATACAAGTACTTTTAATTACTGTCAAAGTAAATGAAAAATGCCATTTTTTTTTTAATTTAACATATACAAAGTTCAGCTGAAAAGAAGTATAATATAGGGCAAAGTATTGCAACTCACAGATCTTATGCTAATAATCCTGTATATTTGTTCAGCAGAACCCACTACTTAAAAGGGATGAAGAAAATGAACTGGAATTCATGCATTCAGTTAGCTAAGCTTTTTTACAGAATAAAACAAAAGAATTTGTTTTATTTGTTTTTTAAGCTTATTTGTTCAGCAGAACCCACTACTCTCTGTATCCACTATGTCATATTAATGCATCATAGCATCCCTGGTTTTCAACAAATGGTTATCAGCATTCCATTTGGTACTTCCAGTCTTGAGATTTATCAGGTTACCAATCTATATGTTTGTCAAATAATCACAGAAGGGCGATTGTGGGTAGGGAAAATATACAGTAGATATCAAAACCTATCCTTATAAAATTAGTGTGACTTTTCCTGTTACCAAAATATTCTTAAATGTACAAAAGAGTTACCAAAATATTCTTAAATGTACAAAAGAGTTAATTATAAAATAGCCTACTTTATTGCATTATGACAGTAGTTCATACAGAGTAAGCAATTACTAAGTAGACAACCAGAACAACATCTAGCAATGTGTGAGTAGCTATTGGCCACGGAATTTAATTTATTCAGGGAACAAGACTTTCTAGAGTCCCTGCAAATGTACTAAGCATTATCCTAGATGCAGAACATGGTCTCACAAATCCAAGCGTTTCCCATCTTTTCGATCGTAGGAAGACCCCTTTAGGCTTAGACTCATAGAAATATTTAAGAACCTCAGAGAGCTTTTAATTTGCATGTCATAATCTATTAATATTTACCATATTCTAAATTAAAACTGAGAAACTTAAAAACATTTATTAATTTAAAAATAACAAAAATAAATGATTACATTTTAAAATAAAAGCATATTTTCATGGAAATAACTGCAGTTTCCAGAAAAAGAAGAAAAAGAAGAAAAAGAAAAAAATCAAGAAGAACGGCACTATTTCAATTCTGCACACTTCTTTAATGACTGTCTTAAAAAAAAGACAGCTGAATTCTCTTATCTCTTCCGTGTTTCAACTACTGCAAAAATGTTGTTATGAGAGCATAAGAAAAAAAAATCCACACAGGCATGCATCTGTAAAAAGGAGGTGTCTTTCCAGACAACTGTGGATATTCTTTGTACACCACAACTCAATAAGCACTAATTTCTTAAAGGTGAGTTGCAATAAGAAACTGTATCAGTGAACTTTTCATACTCTGTTAAACTATAACCTATTTGGTCTATCTTGTACTAGAATGAATCTATACTCATGTGTAACTTTGTAACATCACATGATCATTTAAAAAATACTGTCTTTTTATGTAGATCTTCCAAATGCAAAAAAAAATTTACAATATAAAAAAGCACATTTGACTGGGTATTTACCCCAAAGATACAAAAGTAGGGATCCGAAAGGGTACATGCACCCCGATGTTTATAGCAGCAATGTCCACAATAGCCAAACTGTGGAAAGAGCCAAGATGTCCATCGACAGATGAATGGATAAAGAAGATGTGATATATATATACAATGGAATATTATGCAGCCATCAAAAGGAATGAGATCTTGACATTTGCAACGACGTGGATGGAACTGGAGGGTATTATGTTGAGCGAAATAAGTCAAACAGAGAAAGACATGTATCCTATGATCTCACTGATATGAGGAATTCTTAATCGCAGGAAACAAACTGAGGGTTGCTGGAGTGGGGGGTGGGGTGGGAGAGATGGTGTGGCTAGGTGATAGACACTGGGGAGGGTATGTGCTCTGGTAAGCGCTGTGAATTGTGCAAGACTGTTGAATCTCAGATCTCTACCTCTGAAACAAATAATGCAATATATGTTAAGGAAAAAATAAAAGAAGAAGATAGCAGGAGGGGAAGAATGAAGCGGGGGAAATCAGAGGGGTAGACGAACCATGAGAGACGATGGACTCTGAGAAACAAACTGAGGGTTCTAGAGGGGAGGGGTGTGGGAGGATGGGTTAGCCTGGTGGTGGGTATTGAGGAGGGCACGTTCTGCATGGAGCACTGGGTGTTATGCACAAACAATGAATCATGGAACACTACATCTAAAACTAATGATGTAATGTAGGGGATTAACATAAGAATAAAAAAATAAAAATAAAAAAGCACATTTGTTTATATCGTTACTCTCCTCAGAATCTATTATTAGGAAGCAGTTAAGCATGTACTTAGAATTTCCAAAAATCTAATTTTCATTTGAAAGCTCAAATTTTATCATTGACAATAAAAACTATGAGCTACTTAGGCTCATTTTTGAGAAAAAGTCTGTAAAATACTCAAATCTGAATAATCCTTACTTATCTGTCAATGTCAATCTTTCTTTTGAGTAAAAATGGATTTTTATGGAAAAAAAGTGGCTAGTTCAGCTAACAACTCAAACAACCACACAAATGTTTTTTCCTTGAGACAACTATTTACTACTAGGGTATCCATGAGAAGTACTGTACACAGGTTTCCCTTTTTGTCACAAGGAATATTAAAAAGAAATGTATCCAAAGGGGGACACTCAATAGCATTAACAATTCCTACTGCTCCAACAAGAACATTCTTAAGTGAAACTGGTTTGTTTTTGTTTGTTTTGTTTTGTTTTTCCCTGCAGCACCTGGTATTGGTAAAGAATAAAATTACCATCAAGTACAGTTTGGTGCCACTGTCTTGATATTTGTGCTGAGGGGCCAGGAATTTTCTCTGCATTACTTTTGCATTACCAGTAAAAATGTTTACACAATAAAAAAGCCAGAAACATCACCTTCTTGGAAAAAATTGTTTTGACCTCACAGACCCCCTTCAGGGATTCATGGACCACACTTTTGAGAACTACTGCATTAATCTATTGATGAAACTAAGTCAACTCTCCCATGGGTCTTCAACCAATAGGATAACTGACTCTTATCTTTTGGGGCTCTCTGGTTCTTAGCTTTATAACCATACCAATTTTCTTACATCGTAAGTTAAAAATGAAACATACATACACATACACAATGTGTCCCTTTACCCAGACTAAATATTTACCTGCATGAAAATAAAGCTTAGCTAACTGAATGCATGAATTCCAGTTCATTGTCTTCATCTTGCTTTTTTTTTTTTTTTTCTTGGAAAGGGAAACATTCTCCTTTTTTCTAAAACCCAAAGAATTCTCTCTAGGTAAGTAACAGTGGTTGGAGGCAACATAATGAGCCTGTCCCTGCCAGGGAGAAGGTAGGGGGGCTCTCAGACTCACCAAGAGCTGTGTTGAGAAAGGACTTCTCACTCCGAGGGCAACTTGGAAAGGAAGGGGCTGTATTCCAAAGAGGGAGGGGAGGCAAGGTAAGTCTATGAGGGTAACATTAGTTCATTTACATTACTGGGTTAACTAGAAATCTAAGGGTCAGCTTGGAAACTAAGGGAAAGTAAGAAAGAAAATCAACATCTATTGATACGTTACCATGTACTGAAAACTTACTGATGGCATTTAAAGCTCACAACCCCTTGTATTTCACAAAGCTAGTGAGTCACAGGCTGGTCAAACACAACCGCATACGCCAACTCCAAAGCCCACGGTGACTCACACATTTAGCAATGTGATTTTTGTATTGAAAGACGTGTCAAATTCCCAGTAACAATTTGATTTAGAACAGGGTTGGAAAACTGTGTGTGAAAGGTCAGATGGTAGATATTTTAGGCTTTGCAAGTCATAAGTCTGTTAGAGCTTCAATTCTGTCGTAGCACAAAACCTACGGTAAAATTACAGGCAACAGCTAAACACATGAATGTGTCGCTTTTCTACCAAGACTTTATTTATGGACACTGATATTTGAATTTCAAGGAACTTTCACATGTCAAGAAATTTTTTTTTCAACCATTCTTAGCTTGCAAGTCTTAAAAAAAAGCCAGATTTGGCTGACAGGCCAAAGACTGTGAATCCTGATTTAGAATATACAGGCTGGAGACTGCTGTTAAGTATTTTATAAAATTCAAGTATATTACTTACATATTCTTCATATCTTCAAAACACTTTTTTAGCTTTCCTCACATTTTAAGCTAATGATAGATATAAAAGTATCAGAAGCCAGAATAAAGGAACTTTATTTCTAGTTGTGATAATGACTTACTCAACAAGAAGATACTTTTGTATTAACTCTATTCACTCTTATGATCAGTTTCTGCTCAGGAGAACACTTACAGTAAATGTTTATATTAAAAAAAAAAAGTTGAACATATTTTCTGAAATACTGGAAAAACACACAATCCATTCTTCAGTTTTGAGATGCCAACTTTTTAGCCACTTGGTCGAAGAACCTCCTGATCAAAAACTCTTTAAAAACCAAGGGGAGTATTTACTCCACTGAGTTATTAGAAGAATCACATGAGCTAATGCAGTAAGCACATACCACCACACAGCATATATTTAATGAATATTATCCGATACCGTGCTTACAAGATAGCAAAAACAAAGTCAATATTCTAAAGGAATAACTTGAACTAGGTTCAATTATTTTTTTTAATGCACAAAGAAGTTCACTGCAGTGCTATTTATAAAAACAGGGAACACTGGAAATCATTTCTGTAAAATGAAAATCTTTCAGTAAAATACTAAGTATCTACAAAATGAATTATAGGACTTTTTTTTAATTCAGAAAAAAATCAAAATTTTACATTTTAAAACAAGGTTCTGATTCTGGCTTCAGTGAAAGTGGAATTAAGCCCGTTCTACCAGGTCTCTCCCAGGAATGCAAGCAAAGCGGATAGAGTGCAGAGAGCAGTCATCTAAAGGGCTTTAAAAGAAATGGCAGCAGGAGAACTGGGGAAAGAAACCAGAAACTGAAGTAAGATCCACCCAGTGATGAGTGCCTCTTTTGTTTTCCTTCCATTTCTCCCATCCTGGACTTAAAGGCAGCCCCAAATCTAGAATTCCGTACCAGTGATCGACAGAAAAAGCACCAAGAACAGCCTTCTCTTTCCAGTCTGAGGAGCAGGAAAGGGAGCTCTAAGGATCAGAGAAGGCTGGGAAAATCCTCCAGGTAAGTCTAGTTCTTTAGGTTGTTTATCCTTTCTCTCCTGCCCCTGCTACCAGGCAATCCCACAGCAGTGAAGGCAAGAGCAGCTGAGGCCTTCTTCATCTCCAGCCCCAGCCTGCGTGCCCCTAGCTTATTCTCAACCTGGAAGACTCGACTCAGGCATCACCTTCTACTGGAAAGCCGTTTCTTACACCCCAGTCTGGGTTACGTGTATGTCTCTGGGCTCCTCTGAGGCCCTCTACTGTAGTTCCATCTACAGGGAACAGTCCCTTTGACCCCACTAACTGAAATGCGCTAGTCTGGACATGAGAGAACTGACTGTTGCTGGATATCCACTTTGGGTTTCCTTGTATGTGCCCATCCTCCCACTATAACTCTAGTTCTGCCAGAGGAGGGTCCTGGACACACTGCCCATGAGTGTGGCCCTCATGCCAAGAATGAGGCCAGTATATGGAAGACAAGAAATGCAGGTGACGTGAATAAATGGGCATCCCCAAATTGTCTTCCTTTCTGATAACAAAGTATTGTCATACCTGACATTTTCAAACCCTGAACACTTCACAAGCACACACAAGGTTCTAAAACATGGTATTTAAGGACCTTTCCATACTGGTCAGCATGTCACCTTCCATACAAGCCACCCACCAGGCTGCTAGGAAAAATTCTTATTTTAAACAATTCTTTTTTAATTTGAATGAAGCTTGAGAAAATAACAAGACATGGTGGCCCATGCAAATTATCATCACATTCTGTGTAGTTTTCTCAATTACTTTACTTCAATCATATTTATATTGTTTTATTACAAGTGTGTATGTGGCCCTTCTGCTTCTGGGGTCAGACATTTGCCTTCTCACGTGGGTCTCTATGGCTGGCTTCTGGATTCCATCTGCTCTTCCAACTTCACCTGCCACTTCGATGCTGGCGAGCCCGCACCATTTTCACTGGGTCGGACCTCTTCATGCACACCAGACCTAGGTAAGTGTGGTCTCACCAGCCAACATGGACTGAGTACTTCCTATGCCTAAGGCACCTGACAGTAATTCTTTAACCTTTGCAACAACCCAAAGAGGGAAGTTTTGATATTCCCACCAGAAGACGCGGGTCCACAGCCAAGCTGCCCTGCCCAGCCGCCGGATGTCCCCATTTGACTTGCTTCCGTTGTCCCCCGCCTACATTCCTCAAGTTTGTTTTTTTTTTTTTTTTTTAAAGATTTTATTTATTTATTTGAGACAGAGAATGAGATAGAGCATGAGAGGGTCAGAGGGAGAAGCAGACTCCCTGCCGAGCAGGGAGCCCGATGTGGGATTCGATCCTGGGACTCCAGGATCATGACTTGAGCGAAGGCAGTCGCTTAACCAACTGAGCCACCCAGGCGCCCACATTCCTCAACTTTGAAAGTGGCACTACTGTACACTTTGGGGACTCTTTGGGAACTGATGGAAAATAAAATGTTAAAAATTATTTATTTCATTCTAAAATATCATTCACAATAAGTACACCCACCAAGTGGCACATAGCATATATTACATAAATATTAGATACACAAATAAAATCAAATACTAAGTGCCATTTATCTCCAATACCATTACTGTCATCACCTATTTTAATGATTTGTGTTTAAATCTAAAGGTATTACCCAAAGAAGTAGTTTAAAAAATTCCAACACAAAACAAACAAAAAAACACAGAGAACATTTCTTCATTATTCACTATTAATGTTGGCAGACACTGAAGTTCAGAATTCCTACCCCCAGTGACACTTGGTTTTCTCAGTAATATGCCCTCAGTCTGCTCCCTGGCTTTCCTCTTAACACCTGATTACACAATACCTTGTATCAGTCACTCACTTTCATATTATCCAACTTTTCAAAGCTGATTATAAAATACATTGAATCCCACACCTGTGTATCAACAGCCCTGAAGATACCCATGGTGATACCCAAGCACTCTGACTTTGTGTTACACTTGACAAACTGAGAGTCTTTCTCATTCTTCCATCTTATCAACCATTATCTCCATGTTAGAGGTGAGGAGGAAGAAGGGCAGAGCAGAGAAGTAAGTTATCTGAGTCACAAGGTTCAAAGATGGGCTCTATACTACCAGAAGTGTGCAGGCGTGGAGGCAGGGAGGGCAGGTACTTTCTTGCAGGTAACATTTCCAGAACCAGAATACTGCACTTAACAAAGACTAGTCAATTTCCTCCAGCAAAAAGCTACAAACATGTCAAAATTGAGGGACACTGGGTGGACATGTTCCTTTTCAGAGCTGGAGAGGTCACCAAAACCAACAGTGACTGGCACTGAACTGTAAGGCGCTTCTCCAGGTGCAGAAACAAGTCGTCAGCTTCTCTCTCCCAAATAAGAACCCCAGTCCTCCACAGATACAAATGCAAATCCTGATGCACAGAGAGCTTGGAACCGTGCTAAGTGCCCTGCAACTGTGAAACGTTAAACTACTTCTGCACCTATATCAGATTACAGCTGCGGTCTTATATAGGGCAGCATGGAACGAGAGAGGAAAGGCACACATGTCATCATCACACGCCAAAGCAACAGGGCACCATGATTGATACGCAGTGTACCCATCGGTCACCAAGTGGACTGGAACCCTGCTCTCTGTCTAGCATGAGAGGCAGAGGGGAATGAAACAGAAACAGTCCCTGATCTTGTGGGGGACTATGGCCTGCTAAGGGAGGTAGACTTTGTAAGGGAGAAGGAGGAAAGGGGTTGGACAGAATTACCTAAGAATATAAGAAGTCCTGTAAATATATTACCAGCTATAATGTGATGATGATGATAATAAGTTAAAATAGCTGCTTCTGTATTCTGGCTGGTCATCCACCACCTGCAGGTACTTTATCGGGCCTCTACACATGACATCTCTCATTTTCAGAATAGACAACACTCATAAAATGTAACTTATCTAATGCACAGATAATAATCAGCATTGCTGGGACCTGAACTCAAGATTAGCTAAGCACAAACGCTCAAAAACCTCCACTCGGAAACATTCATTAAGCATCAAGTATAAGCAGGAACTAACCATACACTTAGTCCACAGTAATAATCAAAACATGTCCTCTTTCCATATGCAATTCAAATCATGATGTTTAGGAGCCTCTCACTGAACACAGGCTCTTTTCCAGGCTTCTGATCATAGCCAGACTCCCAATCAGATATGAAATTCACGCCATGAAAACCAGTAGCCCTGCATCCTCATCTTGCTCTGTTTCTCAACCCTCTCTATTGTTTTGTTTTGCTTTTAAGATTTTTATTTATTTGAGAGAGAGACGCAGACTTCCCAATATGGGGCTCAATCCCAGGACCCCAGGATCATGACCCCAGCCGAAGGTACCTGCTTAACCAACTGAGCCACCCAGGTACCCCTCAACCCTCTCTATTGTTGAAGATGGCATAATTTTTCAAAAAGATGCTGAGCACTAGGCTGACACTTGCTATCCTTAACTTCCTCTAATCTCTGGATACTGAATCTAAATAGCAGTAAAAACAAAAAAAAGGGGGGGGGGGCATAATTTAATCTTTGTTTAAAGTGTCTTTATTAATAAGCTGAATTTAGAGTAGGTCTCTGGACTTCTTATCTCTGCCAGGCTGCAGGATCAAGTCACAATAAGAAGGGTATTTTTACAGCTTAATAAATGAAAGAAACACGATCTCTCCTGAAACCCATCATGTATACCTAATAAAGCTGATTATTCAATAGTTTGGCAATAACAATTAAAAGACCTATAAATGCACTTCCCTCTTAGTTCTTTTCTGAGATCAATATAGTAATAATCTCCACTTAGCAAAAAGCATGATCAGTATGAGCAAGTGTACAAGTTAAAATTAAATACATAAAACTAAATACACAACTTTATGTAGAACTATATATGCTATTTTCTATAAATGTATTTACATACTATATGTATTTATTTTTCTCAAGATTAGTATCCAACATACATACACGTACGTAAATACCCATATACACATGCACAGCTAGCACACATAGCAACCATTTCTGAAATATTTAGCACTGATTTTTTAAAAAGGTATCACTTTTGAAGCATTTCTACGGGACAAGGGTCAACAACGTTAAAACAATCCTTTAAGCCTAAGAATTATAAAGACTCCTCCAATTACTTCTAGGGCAATGTCCATGTTCTATCTGTTAGCACAGATACTGAAATGGAATTCAGGCAAGCTGATCCTTCTCTCCCTTCTTTACGGCAATCAACCAGAACCTACTGTGCTCTCTCCAGGTTCCATGAGTTCGTACCGTTATCCATTCCCCCTCTTCTCCTTCAATCCCATGTAAGCTTTAAATTCAGTCGGTGAAGTCCCCTTCCAAACATACCGATGAGTTACACGCCCCAAGTGCTCCTCCAGCAGCTGGGCCACACTTCCTTCAGGACACCCCCTCCCTCCTCCATCCAGCTCCTGCCCGGTCTAATACAACAGGTATTTAATAAATTCACTGATTCCACAAACATTTGCAGCCCACTATGTGCTAAGAAATCAACACTGAGCAGAGACATCACACTTGTCCTCTCAGACCTTAAAGAGTTAGGTATATTAACAACCACTGACAAAAGATGTCAAATGAGAACTATCCTTAGACATTATGTGTAAGATATTTGAATGACTTAAAATGTTGAAAAAAATAAAGACAAACATAAAGGAAAGAATACGGGAAGAAAATTTGTTTTACATAGATCTAAAGGTTCGAGATCAAAATACCAGATAGAAGAGAAAAATCTTTTTATACAAATTAGCTCAAACCATCCTCTTCCGAAAAAAGAGACAGAATAAAAGAGAAGAACTAACTTGCTTTTCTTTCATCAGAGATGCTTCTGAAAATAAGTATTTGTGTGCAGCTGATTCATGTTTGATCAGGTCTGATAAAAGTATTTCTGCAAATCTATTTCTGTCACCATTAATCATGTCAATTTATAACAAATACACACCATATAAGAATGAGTTTTGCTACATAGGTAAACATCACTGTTATTATTCAAACTATGTTCATATACTGAAAACACCTGGGAGACAAAACACAACACATCCATCCCTAAACATGCACAGATTACATATAAACAACGATTAACATGCCTTTCTGAGGGAGCTGAGAAAGTCATTCAATTGTGCTCCGATCACTTAACTCTTCTCACTTAGGAAACAGAGAGGACACGCTCCCTGCCTAGGAGCAAACCTCTATTTTCTGGGAGGAGTCCACCCCTATGACCTCCCCATCACCACAAACAGGAGCTCAGAGAAGAATCTAGGGCAAGTAGACTTCTCGTAGACAAATGAGCCTACTGCCCCTTTAACAATCCTTCATCTAAAATGTTCACTCAACATCTTCTACGTGCCAAGCCCTGTTTTGACCATGTGGCATCAGCAGTAAATAATATAAAGACCTGCCCTCATGGAGCTTATGACCTGCAAAGGGGTGATGCCTTTAGAGAGAAAAATAAAGCATTATACATGGTATGGGACAGGGACTTGAGTCTCACTGACCTCTTCATTTGCTTCTCAAACCATGAGGTCGGCACGCTGACCCTGAGCCAGGACTGCCTGTGGACAGTGGGAAAGTTGTGTAGGTACCAAAATGGAACGCATGAACCACACTGCTCAGGCATGTTGCTCTTTACTCTCTGGGCCCAGGGTCCAGGGTGGTCCTACTGCCTGGCACAGGTCAGTAACAAATACACCAGGTAGAACCCAGGAGCTCAGGCCTCTGGTAGTGATACAAGGATCCTGGCGTCTCTTTGCAAGCTATCCACTTTGAGTGCCTAGGCAAATTAAAAAAAATATAGAAACCAGGGATGCCCACCAATCGTATACATCTTACAGCACTATTAAGAGTCTCCAGTGAAGTAAAAGGTGAAAATCTTTGGTAAAAGCCCTGTAAAACGCTTTCAAATGCCATCATCATCGTCGTCACCATCATCATTTGGTCCCACTGGTGTGTGATTATAGCATTGAGCAACGGCTGATATTCTAAAAATTAACTTCCACCAAAAAGATTAAGCTACCATATGGACCCTTACATGAAAACCCTTCCTGCAAGGAGCAGAGCAAGAGTTTGTGTGGAAATGGTCTGACAACTAAGCAAGTGACCAAACAGAAAACAAACCCTGACAATCTCCAGGCAAACTGGCCACCGGGCGATGCGGCACCGGGTGTGACCCTCTCCCCTCATTCACACCACCTCTGCAAACCCCCAAACCTCTGCTCTTCTGGCTGGCCTGCTCTCCTCCAACCCTGCACGCGGCTGGCAAACTCTTCCTCACCCTTCGAGGTCCAACGTAAAAAGCACCACCTCTGTGGCTTTCCTCGTCCCACCCAGCTGATTCCGGGTTTTCTCGTCAGCATTCGTTGGTTCGGTGTCTCTTACTGAACACCTACTACGTGCCTGTCACTGCCGGAGGTGCTGGAGCGCATGCTGTTCACATGCGGTCTCGATTCCAACAGGGAGGGGCGGACGACAAACGGGCCATATGTCAGACGGTAACGGGGTGCTCTGAAAACGGGACGGAGCGAGGAGGGAGCAGGCGCGGTCAGTGCATCCACCACGCTGCACACGGTGCCGGGTCCGCGGGCCCACAGACCGCAGCGGCCTGCGTCCGCACAGCCCTCCTCAAACGCGGCAGGAGAAGCCACGGCTACCATGGACAGCTACCGCCTCCCGCGCCAGGGGAGCTCCCCCGTCCGCAGGCTGGCTTCACCTCCACCAGAGCGGCGGAGCTACGTGCCACATGGGACGCACCTGGGGAGGGAGGGAGGGGTCCGGGCAGGGAGGGCTTACGCTACTTGTCCAGGACACACAGTCAGCAAGCAGGAGTGACAAGGCAGATTTGAACCCAAGCAATCTGACTCCAGAAGCCTCATTCTTAGTCCAACCCAGTACTGTCTTCCCAAATACTGGACATTCGAAGTCATCTTACAGCAAGCCAAACTGGAATTGTGCATTTGTGCTCTCCTACACGTCTAGAAATGGCTTGTACTGGCCCCCAAACGGAGTCTCACAGTCCTGGACGGGGAGCGAGAATGAGCCGGTCATGACTGGGTTCACACACGCCAAGCCCTCGGGGACGCAGACAGCAAGCTCAGCTCCGCAGCACGTGAGGGGCAGGAAGCCCGCAAGCGGCACAACCAGGCACCTGGGCCTGATTCCTTTATAGCACAGCACACTTAGGAAATCATCTGAATTCAGAGTATGAATCTGATTTGTGTACGGTATACTATTTAATTCTAAAAACTCATTAGCTTCAAAGATTCTTAAAGCTCAGGAAAGGCGCTCCACCCTCCCAGCGCCCTCGTACCCACGTTCCTGCAGCAGTTACAGGCCAGTGCGGGCGCCTGCAAGGCACAGCCAGCGCGCCCAGGGCAGCCGAGGGCGTTCATCTGCCACAACCCATCACACTCCAGGTTTGGTGCTGGACAACGATGCAACTGTAATAACGACCGGTTTGAGATGTTTCCGACAAGTCTGACCATTGTGCCATGTGTTTATTTTTTTTTTTTTTTAAGATTTTATTTATTTGACAGAGAGAGAGAGAGCACAGATAGCCAGAGTGGCAGGCAGAGGGTGGGTGAAGCAGGCTTCCCGCGGAGCAGGGAGCCCGATGCGGGGCTCGATCCCAGGACCCTGGGATCATGACCTGAGCTGAAGGCAGACGCTCAACCAACTGAGCCACCCAGGCGCCCCTGTGCCACATGTTTAAAAGAAAGAAAAGGGTCCATAAAATATGATCAGCAACTTTGAAACGTAAGCTAGGTGCAAAGAAGACTGAATTAGTAAATACATTTTAGTAGAGAAAACCATCAGTTCTGACCTTTCTTTTCAATGGGAAAGGGGTAGAGAGAGAGGCAGGGAGGAGGGAGACAATGTCTGGAAATGCTAGGGGAAGAGAAAAAAAGATCTTGTCCCAGGAACCAGCACAACAACAGTAACAAGCCCCCATGATTTAATGCACTTTCTTTTCTAAATGATCTAAATAAGCTTTATGAAAAAGAAAGTATAAACACTGGCTGGGCACCTGCTACATGCCAGGCACTAGTCTGACTCTTGACAAATATTTCCTTTCTCGCCCCGACCTTCTCACCTCCCAACAGCACCACTAGCAGTGCTCTCCTCCTTGGCAAGTGTGGATTAACTTGCACGAGTCCTCACAGCTACAACTGGACCAGAGCACAGTCGATTATCTTCTCTCCCAGACTAACACTTGCCCAAACAATGAAATCAGAATCTCAGATAGCAAGCTTTTCCCAGCTTCTAATGCTACTTCTCACCTATCCCAAAACACAACACACACACACACACACACACACACACACGCACACACACACACAAAGAAAGAGAGATCGGGAGAAAGGATGGCACACCATGGAGGCAGAAGGACAACTGGGCATACAGCAGATAGAGAACTATCTCAGAGGAACACAAGGTTTCTCCTAGAAACTGGTCTGGGAAGCGAGAGCTCAGTTCTGCCTTCCCTCTTCATTAGTATTAAGCCTTATAAATTGAACCATTTCACATTTCCCAGGGAAGCACTGTAAATTACGTTATAATTCCACAGCAGGTTTTATCAGATGCAAATCCAAACACTAGATACATCACTGCTAATTATTTTTCTCTCTGTCTTGTCGACAACTTTAGCTACTGTAAGTTCATCTGCCCAACAAGTAACTCTGAACTTATACATTAACATAACACCCAATAACATGTAATACCATGTAAATATTCAGTGTTTTAGTTTAGTAAAATATGCTCCCATGAGCAGGTAAACATAAAAGGTGACAGGCTGAGAGCCTCCATAAATGCTCTCTACTTAGCATTTCCCTAAATAACCATGTCCTAGGCAGACAATATAAATTATCCTGGCAGTTGAATCACTATATTATACACCTGAAACTAATACAGTACTATATGTTAATTATACTAGAATTGAAAAATTCATTATTTTGTAAAAAAGAAATCTATTACGAATGAAAAATTTTTAAAAATATGATTGAGGGCCTCATCAAATATATGCACATAATGACTGGCAGAAAGTTTTAACTGGTACAACTCATCTATAAATCAATTTGACAATGTGGGTCAAGAAGCTTTACAATATCGATAAACTATGACCTACTCATCCCAACTTCTGGGAAACTGTCCTCAAGAAATTATTTGAATGCCCACTGCAGACTTATGTGCAAAGAGGTGCACTGAGGCACTCACTAAAGACCTACTGTGTTCCAGTCACGGTGGATACACAGTCCTTGCCTTCAAGGAGTTTACCCTGTAAAGGGAAAACATACGTAGGAAGGAAACCCCAATCCACTGTGAAAGACTATGACAGAGGGAGGCAGAAAAGGGCAGCAAGGAAACCCAAGCCAGAGGTGAGAGTGGGTGGCAAGCAGGTTTCCTCTAGGTGGGGATACCCCAGCTGAATCCCTAAGAATATAAATGAGTTAATAAGCAAGTAAGAGGGGAAAGGGCATTTCTGTTATTAAAAAAAAAAAAAAAAAACAAACAAACAAACAAAACACAGCACACAGAAGGCCTTCAAAAGAGCATAGGGCTTTCACGAATCAGACAAGAAATCCAGTGTGCTAATTACCTCAGGACCCTAGAGCGGGGTGACTGAAATGAGACTGGAGACCAAAGTAAGGGTGAACACCGTCCTGAGAAATTAAGATTTTACTGTTAAGATATGAAGAACCACTGAAAACATTTTTTTTAAATTTTTTTAAAGACTTTATTCATTTGAGAGACAGAGAGAGCACAAGCAAGGGGAGAGGCAGAGGGAAAGGGAGATGCAGACCCCCCGCTGAGCTGAGAGCCTGATGCGGGGCTCAATCCCAGGACCTGGAGATCATGACCTGAGCTGAAGGCAGATGCTTAACCATCTGAGCCACCCAGGCGCCCCAAACCAGTGAAAACTTTTAAACACGGGAATGACTGCTTAAAAAGATTTGCATTTTGCACTGCTTCCTTTTATTTTTTATTTATTTATTTTATTATGTTCAGTTAGCCACCATACAGTATATCATTAGTTTTTGATGTAGTGTCCAACGATTCATTAGTTGCATATAACACCCAGTGCTCATTATAACACATGCCCTCCTTAATACCCATCACCTGGCTACTCCATCCCCCTAACCCCTCGCTCTGAAACCTTCAAATGGTTTCCTGGAGTTCAGAATCTCTCTCAGTTTGTCTCCTTCTCTGATTTCTCCCCCTTCAGTTTTCCCTCCCTTCCCCTGTGGTTCTCTGTGCTATTCCTTATATGTTCCACATATGAGTGAAACCATATGATAATTGTCTTTCTCGGCTTGACTTATTTCACTTAGCATAATCCCTAGCGGAATATTACTCAGCCATCAGAAAGGATGAATACCCACCATTTGCACTGCTGCCTTTTAAAATGGAAACCTTAACAGAGAGGCGAACAGCTCTGGTGGTGAGGAAGCAGATTCAGGCTGTCACAGCAATCTAGGCAAAAGCAGAAATGGACACACTGCAAAGCAATGGCACAGACAATTCTGAACTATAATTCCAAAAACTGGAAATGCTCATTCGTGAAGAATCAGCTCAAGAATATGATGACATACGTAACATGGAGTACTACACAGCCATGAAAAACAGTTTCCAACTTTGCAACTACCTAAGAAAATGATTATGGTAGAACATTAAACTAAACACTAAAATCTAAAATTCTATACGGAGAAGGAAACTAAAATATTGACAATGATTATCCCCAAATGACTGCTTTCTGGGGAGTGCAACTTTTAAAAAAAATTTTTTATACTTTCTATTTTTATCCAAAATAAGCAATCATTTATCAGATGCATCAGGAGGGCTTTCGATGCACCAGGCATGTGTGCTGGAGCTAGGTATGCAGTGGTCTACAAAACAGACATGAACCCTGGCTTCATGAAACTTATAGTCCTATACAGACTGTATTTATCAGAAATATATTAATTTTAAATTTAAATCCAAAAGCGGAGGAAGAAAGGAATGTCCTGAATTCATTTATTAGTTTTAATAGACTTTTAGTTGATTCCTTATGATTTTCTATAAAAGATCACATCATCTATAGAATACAGTTAATCATACTTCTTTCTTCCCAATCTGGATGCCAATGCCTTTTGTTTCGTTTTCTTGCATCGCTACCCTGGAACAACACTGAATAGTAACAGGTGAAAGCAGACATCTTTGCTTCTTCCTGATCTTAAGGGAAAAGTCTCTCACAATTATGATGTCACCTGTGGGTTTTTCATAGACATCCTTCATTATCAGGTGCAGAAGTTCCCTTCTACTCTTAGTTTGTTGAGTGTTTTTATCATGAAATGGTTAGAATTTATCAAATGCTTTTCCTGTGTCTATTGAAATGATTATGTGTTTTTTGTACTGTATTCCATTGATGGTATATTAACTGATTTTTCAATGCTAAACCAACCTTGCATTCCTAAGATAAATCCTATGTGATTATGGTGTGTAATCCTTTTTATATGTTGCTAGATTTGGTTTGCTAATATTTTAAGGATTTTTATTTCTATATTCATAACAGAGATTGGTCTGAGGTTTTTTGTTTTTTGTATTTTTTTGTATATGTGATATCTTTGTCTGATTTTGGAATAAGGGCAAAACTGTTCTCATAGAATGAGTTGGGAAGTATCTATTTTTTTTGGAAGAGTTTATCAAGAATTTGTATTAATTTTTTTTAAATGTTTGGTAGGATTCACCAGTAAAGCCATCTGGACCTGGGCTTTTTTCAGTATTTTTTATTTACCAATTAATCTCTTCACCCTTCTATTCAAATTTTCTATTTCTTCTTGAGTCAGTGTTGGTTGTTCATGTCCTTCTAGGAATCTGCCCATTTCAACGAAGTCATCTAATTCATGAACATACAATTATTCACAGTATTTCCTTACAATCCCTTTGATTTCCGTAAAGTCAGCAGAATGTCCCCTTTTTCATTCCTGATTTTAGTCATTTGAATTTTCTCCCTCTTCTCTTAGTCAATTTAGTTAAAGTTAAATTTTGGTGATGTTTTCAAAAAAACAACTTCTGGTTTGTTGATTTTCTCTATTGTTTTTCTATTTGCTTTTTGATAATTTCCATTCTAATATGTATTATTAGCAGACATCCATAGAACATGTTCCCTTGACAGTAGCAGAAACTAATTTTTCTTAAGCCATGTGGAACATTCTCAAGGACAGATCTGTATTATTTCCCTCATTCTGCTTATTTTACATGTAATTTGTTTCTTTTCGATGTTAAGATGGAAAATTAGGTAACTGATTTGACATTTATCTTCATTTTTAATATAGGTATTTTACAGCTATAAGTTTGCCTCTAAGTGCTGCTTTAGCTGCATCCCATAAATTTTGCTATGTTGTATTTTCATTTTCATTCATCTCAAAGTATTTCCTAATTCTCCTTGTGATTTCTCGTTTGGCTCATCAGTTATTAAAGTGTCTACTAATTTCCACATATTTGTGAATTCTCCAAGTTTCTTTCTGTTATTGATTTCTAATCTCATTTCATTGTGGCCAGAGAACATCCTTTGCATAATTTCAATCCTTTAGAATTTGTTGAGGCTTGTTTTATGGACTAGCATATAATCTGTCCTGGAGAATATTCCATGTGACTTATGAAAATTTTTTCTGCTGTTTTCAAGAGAACACGTTCTACAGATGTCTGCTAAATCTAGTCAGCTTATAATGCTGTTTAAGTCTTCTGTTTCCTTACTGACCTCCTACCTAGTTGTTGTATCCATTACTGTAAAAGTTTTATTGAAGTCTCCAACTATTATTGTTAAGGAAGTCATAATTATTTAAGGACATTGTATTAGTTTCCTATTGCCACTGTAACAAATTACCACAAATTTAGTGGCTTGAAACAACAACATGAACATATTACCTTACAGTTCTGGAACTTAAGTCTAAATAGGTATGTAAGGAAGCATGTCCTACTGCTTGGGGCCACATCACTACAATCACTGCTTCCACTGTCACCTGCCTTCTGTCTGACTCAGACTGCTCCTCCACATCCCTCTTACAAGGACCAGTGAGATTACACTGGGCCCGCCCAGATGATCATGACAATCTCTCTACCTCCAGATCCTTAATAATATCTGCAAAGTCCCTTTTGCCACATAAGGTAGTATTCACAATTTCTAGGGCTTAAGATGTAGATATATTTGGGGAACACCTCTCACTCACCACAAACATTAATTGAAACAAATTATTGAATCAAATTTGATACAAACTGTTGAATCAAGTCCTAGTTTGTTCCATATCACTGAGCTCACCAGGGTCAGTATAAACCAAGCACCTTTTAATCCTACGTTTGGATATATAAACTTATGTTCTTTGGACATTCTTTATCAGTGTATTTTTTTTTTTAAGATTTTATTTATTTATTTGACAGAGAAAGACACAGCAAGAGAGGGAACACAAACGGGGAGTAGGAGAGGGAGAAGCAGACTCCCTGCCGAGCAGGGAGCCCGATGCGGGACTCGATCCCGGGACTCCAGGATCATGACCTGAGCCAAAGGCAGTCGCTTAACCGACTGAGCCACCCAGGCACCCCTCTTTATCAGTTTAAATACTACATCAGCCATGTTTAGTTTCTTTTCTCTATATTTTCCTCATATTTTATGGAATTATTTCAAGTGATCATGCTGAACATGTAGGACTGAAGCAATAATCTGTAAATAAGATACACCTTTTATAGCATAGCAAAAAAAAGCACAGGTTTTGAGTAGAAACAGAGCTTGGTTTTAATCTTGCCCTTCACCTTTGTCAGACCCAGTTTCGTTATAAAATGGGGGCATTAATATCTATCTGTATAAGGCAGTGACTAAGGAGGAGCTTAATAAACACCCGCTAAGACTGAAATGGCCTACAGACAGATAAGAATTAGACGGGCAGAGGGAAGGAAAGCAGCTGTCAAGTCAATCGATTAACTACCTGGTCATTCTGACACATGAACCAAACAATCTTTGCCAAATACTTTGACAGTACTCTGAATATTATCCAGATAACAACGTCAGTATGATGATGAGCTCTGTACGGCCCTTACATCTTAATCCACTGGAATAGGGAAGCAGATTGAAAAAATCCAAAGCACCCAGTTACAAGCTGGCCATGTGACATGAGGCCAGGCACAACGTCCACAAAAGCCTGTTTTCTCCCCTATCAAGTGGAATCTACGTCTTCTATCTCAGAGACCTGTACTAAGAATTGAGAAAAATACTGTCTGCACATCTGCTGGCACTTAGCAAGAACTCAACAAATAATAGCTCATTATTATTAACAATTATGTGATACCAACAAGTTATTTAATATCTCTGGAACCCCTGATGTATAATTAGAGATAATATCCTAACACATGAAAATCCCTAAAACGAGGCTGAAGATGTCCTTGGTAACTGGTAAACATCAGCGTTCCTCAGCTTCTCTCAATCCATCTGTGGTAGAAAAAACCAGTGTCTCCCTCAGACACATCCACACATCCTCATCTCCAGAACCTGTGAATGTCAAGTTTCATGGCGAAGGAAAGCTGCATGTTGCAGACATAACTAAGGTTGTTAATCAGCTAGTCTTAAAATGGGGAGATTATCTTGGATCATCCAGGTAAACCCAAGGTAATTACAAAGAATCTTAAAAACAGATGAGAAAAGCAGGAGAGAGAGGCCTACAGGGACAGCAGTGTGGAAGGAACCCATCCTGACATTGCTGGCTTCAAAGATGGGGGAAGGGGTCAGGTGCCCAGGGCCGTGGGCAATCTTCAGCAGCAGGAAGAGATAGGGAGCGACTCCTCCCCTTGAGTCTCCAGAAAGGGACGCAGCTCTGCTGACAGCCTGACTTTAGTCCAGTGAGAACCATTCCAGACTCCTGCCCTCAGAAATGGAAGATAATAAAGCCACCAAATTCCTGGCAATTTGTTATAGCAGTTGTAGAACACTGATACACTCTCCCATCCGGTTTTTTGGTTTTATTATAAATAAGTCACAAATAACATCTGAATCTGAAAATTGAAAAAGGAAAAAAGCAAATTATTTTTGTTTTCTCTATGCAGATGAACCTCACCTTAAATGAAATCTCTTAAGAAAATCACTTCTTACTGAACTATACTGATGAGTGACCTGAACAGTGCTTGATTCTTGGCTGTTGTCATAAAGAACTTAAGATATTAAACAATATAGATGGACTCATTATCATTTCGGAACAATAGTGTTAATAATTTAATTAAGATACAACCCACTGCATAGAAGTACCTGGTGTTAAAAGAAGCAGCCAACTCAAGAGAAGTCTTTAGTATCCAAAACTAAGCAGGACATGGTACATATTTCCCTTGGGCATCCTAGCTTCAAGTATACTGTATGTTAAGTTTCGAGGCAAAGGTTATGGTGTGAAACCTATTCTGCATGCTGTGATTTTTGTTTAATCAAAGGAAAACTGCTTCTTTGA